AAAATTTAATAATAAAAAAATTTACAAGATTAGAGTTACCAAATTTAAATGCTAACAAGCGGAAATACCAAAATTCAACTCTGTAAGTAACCAATTCCTTCTACTCTGTCTTAAATCAAGTATTACCTACAAGAAAGCAAATAGGCAGTAATGATGCTGACAGAAAAAAGGAGGAAAAACAATTCGAATACCCTCAAACATCCAAGTACCCAGTATAATAAAGGCTTTTCTAACACTAGAAGTTAAGGTTTATTCCTTTTGGACATAGTATGTACATAGTCAGGGAAAGGTGGAAGCTACTTTTTTTAGCTCACCAAATGCTCCTAGAATGCTTTATAGCTTTATACCAAAGGTCTCCATCTTCACAAAGTGACTTGGCTTCCATTATAAAATATCAATTACTGGTTAAAATAGTCACAGCTCAGAGATTTTCATAAGATTCAGCTTGCATTTTTAAAATAGCACCTTTTTTTGTTTGATATTCTTTTGTGGTAAAAGATTTAATTTTTTTTTAAAGTGAGAAACATATATAAGAAAGCAATTTTCTTTTTACCCTATTTAAAGATTCTATTAACATGTACTCAAGTATTAACCCACTGTTAGTGAAAGTACAACTGTCTCTGGGTATTAGAAAAGAATTGTGTCCAGGATCTCCCTTATACCAGAATCTTAGGAAACTCAAGTCTCATAAATAGGCATGCTATCTGCATGTAACCTATACACATCCTCTCATATACTTTAAACTTGCCATGATTACTTTGACTAGAATGTAAATGCTATGTAAATAGTACTTTACATTCCCTCTTAGCTTTTGAGGGATTGCTCTGACCACTTCATTGCTTTTCAGGAGTCATCCCAGTGAAGTAATTTCAATGGGTATTTGGTGGATCAGGGGATACAAAATCCAGGAATGTGAAGGAACAACAGTGTATATGAGCATACACTTTTTACTTAATATCTAGAAGCAATGTATCCCATTAGCAATCACATTGCATATTATTTTAATATGGTTTTTCAAGTCCACTTTTAAGAGTGAAAGGATATTTTCTCCAAATTTAGAGATCTTATATACATGACCAAAAGACTACTGCCTCAATAATTATCCTTGTCTCAGGGAAAAAAAAAATTAAATTATTTGTACTGTTCTCAAATCTGAATATTATGAGTAGTGCAAATTAATTAAAACTAGTAAGGAATTTAAAATTCTGTAAGACTCAGAAGTTGATTTTTTTTTTTTAATCTTTCAACTGATAAATAATGTCATTATCTACACACTAATGCACTGTTCTGGTCTACCTTCAGGGCAGACAAGGGTTTGTATTGCACTCTGCCTCTGGCAGTATCTGCTGGCTACCTGCCAGAGTAAGAATGACAGTACACACCATGAACAGTCACAAAATGCACCAAAGGCAATAGAATAGCTACCAGATCAAAGTTATTATTTGACAGGATTACACCAACAGTAGGCAGAAATTGTAATTTGAAAACAAAATGTTCTAAATGAGAAAGAATTTATTTTTAAAACTCCTATTCTTATCATTTCATTATTTGGAAGTACCTTATTAGCAAAGTAGGGCTTTATGTGTTTTTGAGAACAATGGTTTAAAATCTAGCTTTGCATATTTAAGCTCATTATAACTAAATTTTAAAAGTGGGGGGGCAGGGGATGGACCTCTATACATCTAATAAGATTTTAAATTTAGTAATTCATTTATTTATACTAGTCCTTAATATTCAGTCTTCACTGTCACATTCTTGTTTCATCAACAGTCATCTCAGACATACCTTTTAACAAGACTAACTTAAAATATTACGACAGGAAACTAAGCCTTCAGGAGCATGTTTATTGTGTTTGAGATGATACATCAGGTGCTCTCTGAGCTACAAAGGGTAAAAGGAAATCCTCTCATTACAAACTGACAAAGGTCAAAGGTAAAACATTTTCACAACAGCATGTACCACATACTCAGAAATAGATCTGGGTTTAATACAAATG